CCCCCCCTCAAAAAAATGCTGGATACGCCACTGTTCCTTAAAAATATATTATTATAAAAATATTAAGAACCACTGTCCTAAAGCATCACCTTGAGTTTTATTAAATAGTCTTGTAAGTTCGTATATGTGTATGGATAGTTATAGGCCAGGTATACAGTGTCCATATCGTGTGGGAACTCTAAGAGAAATGAAAAGATGTAACGTGGGTTATCCTCGCTATCACCATTTCTGAAAATGCCAAAAACAATGACGAAGTAAAACCAAATGTATAACGACGTACATTTAAAGAACACAAATAATCAATAAACATAATTACGGTGCATCGTTTTTGTAATAAGCAATGTTTTCCCCACAACGTCTCCAGCCCACGTTTTTTTGACTTGCATCCTTTGTAGAGTACAACAATGGTTTCATACCAGCAGTGAAAAGACTTTCAGACTTATACATATTGACAATGGAAAATCTGAAATAAATAATAATTAACCATTTAGAATCAATAAAGGTGTATTTATTTTTTTATATTTTATTAAGTCGTGTTATTATATTTATTAATTTATTATATACATAGGTATATCTGTACATGGGTATAATGTGAGTGTAGCTTAGAATATCTGACAGAAAAATATTCAGTGTAAATAAAATTTATATCAAAAATGACAAAGTATGGGTAAAATGTCTAACGAAAATTGCCAGGTGGAAAAGAATAAAAAAATACACATTTTAGTAAAAATATAATTTATAAATTACATTTCCATAAACTATTATTTATATTATAAACACTATGTGATGAAATTATTATATAATCTATTTATACCTATCACCATGTTTCCAAACTCCAAAGCTTAGAACAAAACATTTTATATTCAAATTCTTCAACCKTCAATAGATTAGTGACAAATTAGACGAACAATAATATTAACATAATAATATATATATTAAAATGTATATCAATTGAAAATGGCTGGACAAATTTGGCTCACTTTTTTCAATTTTTTTTAAATTTTCTAATAGAATATACTAATAATATTTAATATAAATATATTTTTGTTTTTTATATAGGATTGCTATTGGTTGTACAATTTAGTATGGGTGAATAAGAAATTAAAAATTTGTTGTTAGATACCAATTTTAAAAATTGTTTCACCTTAACAAAGCTAAACATGCGAAAAATTATTATGATTGAATATAATTTTAGTCCTGTATTTTATAATATGACTGTATTAAAAATCTTGATGGAGATTAAGATAGGGAGGAAATTCATAGGAATTTTTCACGGGAAGTTTTGAATATAATTATTAATTAGCTACACCGAGTATTAAATAAAGAATTAAACACAAATTTTGAATCATATAATCGAGTTGGTATTTTTAACGGGCAACTAAGGGCACCCATCAGCTAATTACCTATAATTATATTTTGACTAAAATGTRTAGTTATTAGCAGGGTATGTTATGTACAATTGGGTATTTTCAGATTTGTTTGTGGTATGTCATGTACAACACAAATATTATCATAGGTTGCGAGTATTTTAATGGTTTTCTATTTCCAAAATTTACCATTGAAAATAATATTTTTTTTCGATTCACCTACATAAGTCATAACGTTGCAAAAGGAATTCAATCAAACTTCACTCAATTTTTAGAGATTTATTAAAATAATTATCAATAATATATTATATAATTTAAATTTAGACTCCATAATATAATACAATCAACCAAACAAATAAATTGGTCTAGAGGGTTGAGTAATGAGTTCAATGTATTATTTATTTAATTGATATTTGGTATTATTATTTAAGACAATACCATCATACTGTTAATAGATTATTATAAATAGTTTAAAATACCAAACACTTAGAAAATAAAAATTACCTATATTTTTACTATAGATATAATATTTTCCGTTGTTTTTTTGTCTTCAAATATTGTTTCCTGTATTTTTTTATTAAATTTTATCAAGATTTTATTTTCTGATGTATAATTACTATAATTGCGGGATGTTATGGTTTTTTTTTAATATTAAGAAATTATTTTCATAGGTGTTTTTCCTTTCCGGTTCGCTGAGTGAAGTGACGTTAGTGATAAAAATTCGTGAGAACCAAGATACTCATATTTTATAGATCTTTAAAATGGTATCAAATCCTTAGGTTGATTCTTCTAATGAACCATCAATTATTTGAAATTTATGATATTATATTATAGTGCCTAGATTGCCGCGGTATTGTGCGCCAAACACGCAAAATATGTTATAGWTAAATAAAAGGTTTGCTAATCATAGGCGTGCGCATGGGTGCAGCACATGCAGCCTAGACTGCATCTGCTCTTTCTGTGGTGCCAATTTTTTTCTATTTTTCTGCTTGTTTGTGATACAATTGTCGATTATACTTATAGTGATTATGGCCTAAAACGGAACACGGTTCCARGGGGGCGTGGTAAATAGGCCGACTTCGTAGTGGACCTCGCCATCGTGACAGCAACTAGACTTTTTAAAAGAAAATCAAAGACAAAATGTATTTCCAAATTTTAAAAAGGTTTTAATACATTTTGCCACTATACCTGTCACGAGCTGTAGCTGTGAGAGAGTATTTTCTAAATTACCTATTGTAAAATCAAAACTTCGAAGTACAATGTTGCAAGAAAGACTGGAATCCTTTTTATGGAATCCTTTTTATTATTGTTTGTTGAACAAGAAAAATTAATGAACGTTCAGATTGAAAAAGTGATTGATGAATTCAAATCTATGAATAATGAAAGGGAGCGCATATTAGTATTATAAGTTTATAAATTAGGTGTACCTATTGACTAATGAGTATTTAAAAATTAAATTGTAATTGTTAAAAATTATTTTATTGCATTTTCTGTGTAAAAAATTGTTTTAAATACGAAAAATAAATAGCTATTTATTTTTGGTGTTGACAAATTTACAATGTACTTTATCACTAAAAATGTCTAAAAATGTGCTTAAAATGTTCCTTGAAATAAAAGTTATATAGAAATATATGCTGCACGCCTATGGTTTGCTTTGGTGAAAAAACAATCCGACCGTTATCAATATTTAATTTGATGAAAAAGGAAAATCACTTAATGCCCCAGCGACTTAAATTTTTTCGTAGAGACTCACAAAAATAAAGAAACTAGGTATAACTTATAATTACAGTGTGAGTGTTTTTTGTGGTAAAGCTTTCCAATAATTGAGTCCAGTTTCATCACAATTATAAACTTGTTCTCTAACGAGTTTAAGATCATATTGTATTTTCAATTTAAATTGTTCCTTGAATTCAGCAATGACTGCACTATTCGCACTAAGTTTTTCTCCACTTATGTCTAGTTGACGAATTCCGTGACGAAATTTAAACTTATCAAGCCATCCCGTGCTTGCTTTAAAGTTTGGATCGCCATCTAGTTTTTTATTCATTTCACCTGCCTTGGTCGTAATAATAGGACCAGAAAGTGGAATTCCTTGACTTCGGGCTTGAATAAACCACTGATACATAACGTTGTCACTTGTCAAGTTGTTCATATTTTGCCGATTTCATGGTTTTACGACTTCTGACATCTCCATCGTTACTTTGCATTTGCGACACATGTTGCTCAATTTTTTCAGCATCCCGTTTTATGTCATTCACTGTTGTTCTCCCCACACCATAAATCTGAGCAATATTTGTAGCAGTTTCACTTTTCTTCAAACGTTTAATAATTTCAAGTTTTTGATTGAATCCTAATACAACACGTTTCCTCTTTTCTGCCATCTTCGAAACACGACACATAAACTACGAAAACACTAATACACACGGTACACACTTACACGTAGGCTGTTCGTCGGTCACTGATTAAATTACAATACATACACACATAAATTTATAGTTCGTTTATCATGTTTATCGTTCATATTGGATATGTACATATTACAAACTATTTTTATACACTTTATAGTTACTATGTTGGGCACCACGACGAGTTTATCACAATCGTCTAATCGCCTAATTATTTTTTTTTTCGGCGATGACCGATGACGGATAACAGAGAGTGACGGTTAATCGAGTGACGGTTAATCGAAGTTCTACTGTACTTATTTATTATAACTTACGAATCATGACAATTTAATTTAATTATGGTACAACGAATTACCTATGTTGGTTATACATTTAGTATGGAAGAATAAGAAATGAGCAATTTGTTATAAGGTACCAATTTTAAGAATTGTTTCACCTTTACAAAGCTAAAAATGTGATAAAATATTATGTTTGAATATACTTTTAGTCTTGTATTTCAAATGGCTGTGTTAAAAATATTTTATGGAGATTAAGATAGGGTAAATTCATGGGAAATTGTCATGGGAAGTTTTGATCATGACTAGCCGGGTATAAACGACGAATTAACCAAACATTTTGAATCATATAGAGTGGATATTTTTAACGGCCCACAAAGTGCACTGATATCAGTTAGTTTGAGATAAAAGAGTACCTACCTAATGTTTCAAAAATTAAATTACTCTTCTATTAAATCACAACTAAATTATATCTGAAGTAGCTTTTTAAACATATTAAATTAAAATATATATATATATCAAAAAAATATTACAGACCTATATAAATCCAATTTTCAAATAAATATTTACTAATTTTTAAATTGCATGTATATTGAAGGTATAATTCCGTTGCTATTTTAATATAATACATTACATTTAGTACGTCTCAATTAATTTATCAAAATAGTTTACTCACCTATATTTAATGTTTTTTTTTGTATTTTCTATTCTAAAATAAAACCATTGGGTGTGCCGATTGGTATACATATCCGATCTTAGCGATAATTCATAATACGTACTAGTTATTTTGACAACTTTGGCTAGGTTACCGGATTCAAAACGTGATTCAAAAATTAAATCAGAAGGGTCTTGGCTACTATGTGCTTGAGTACACGCACTACCWCCAACGGCTGAACGACAAAACTATAAATTGCAAGAATTCAATCAATGAACTTGTGTTGGAAAAAAATGAATCTATGACTTATGAGTACTGTCCAATACAGTATTCTAATTTTAAACTCACATAGTTCACGCTACTGATAGGATAATATTTGAATATTACTTCTCCCGAATCTTCGCCTACTTGTTTCGGTTGTATTTCTCTGCCTGTAAACTTGTAAAGAGGCTCTTTTTCTGAGTAAGACGCAGACGTCGGGTGAATGTGAATAACAGGATCGTCTATAACCTAGATAGATTGAATTGAGTTAAATTCTAAAAATCATTTAAAACAAAATTAATTTAAAGAATAACAATGGACCTAAAATAATTAAAACTAAATGGAGATTCACWATTAAATCGGGCAAACTTTTCATTAAAATTTAATATGCATAGTTAACCTATAATAATTCATATCAAAAGTAGAAATTTATAAAATTATTTTTATATTATTTTGTAAATTGTAACTTTCAAATTAAGAAATGTTCAAATATTAAATTAACATAAATATAATACTAGTAAAATTAATTTACAAAATAATAAACCATCTTTTTATACCTATACAATTCACATAATATATATTATGTCCAAAACATTAGTCAACAATCACGTTAAATAAAAAGTATAGATTAAAGTTAGTTTGTTTTGTTTCAAATAAAATATACTAAAAAATCTCATATTATTTAAAACAAAGTAGATTATCTTAATATAATATTAACATGGATAAAATGGAAAATGTATCAAAGCATAGGGTAGGTAGGTTATGTTAGATTAGAGTTTTCCCATAAATTATAATCATGTGATAATGGCTCTTGAGCTTGCAGTGTTTAGTAGAAATTATATTAATAATGCACTTAATAGTTCTTTTTCTCACTTGACACTCCATTGGCCATCTTGCAGCTTGGTAAGGACARTCTACTTCTTTCATTAATGGAAAAACTTCTTTAACGTCTCGTAATTTAGAATCTAACTGCCTTGTGTCGCCGTCTGAGTTTATGTCCACCTGACTATTCCTCAATGTACGATTCAGTAAATTGTTTAAAAACGACCCTTTAAAATAAAAGATTCACATATCATGAGAAATAAAATTTTACAACAATATTATATGTATTTTTATTTAATCTATTTTGTTTTCGTTATTAGAGTAAATAAAATTATTTGTCTCTAAATATTCCATAAACTCGATTTTTTTTTTTATGTATTTGTTTAATTAACTTATATAATACCTATTCAGTATTCTGTAAGGAGTGCGCCTATATCCAGTATGAAAATATATAGCTTATAATATAATGTTACATATAGCTCAATGAGCTACGCTGCATATAAATCCTGTTCAAAATTGTTATTAACTCATAATATGGAAAAGTATTATTTTCGAAAGTAGTTTATCGAATGGTTAATGCTTCTTCTTATCACTGTATGTATACTGAAGAATAAATGTTAGACRACATTCGAGATATCGAATTGYGTTTAAAATATTACAGTAACTGTTACAGTTATAATATATTATTATTTATTTATTATTATTACTCGACGTGACATAATACATAAGAAACACAGACGAATAATATAATATAGTTATAGGTTGTAGGTACTTTAAGTGAAAATAATTTTATTCGTAAATTGAATCCGTTTTAATACTGAAATATGAATATTAAAACAATGGCATTTTGGCATGTAACACGAGCTATTAATCAAAAACATAACATATTATACTCGATGATAGCGTCATACCTATTAAATAAATTGATTGAGTTTGAAAAGATACTGCACAACATTTTATCGTGTGATGTCACGAACTCGAGAAACAAACATAAAGTATGGGTAATACATATTATTGTATAGGCGCATATTTTATAACGACATTAGGATTAAATTTTTATCGTACCTACCAATAAAGCGTGGCATTTGTTAACGATTTATCAACAGTTTAAATGCAAATTATGTAGAATGTAAAGTATTGTAATATACCTATTGCGATCCTACTCGTGAACGAGATAGTACGATAAGTATAAATTGTAGTGATGTGTTTCTTGCAAACTATATATTTGTATAATATGACTGTATATAGCCATATAGGTATTATTCTAGAAATTATAATAAAGTAAAAATATATTTATTTTTATTACTAATTATATAGATAGTTTACGAATATTCATCAATACCTACATTTGAGGTTGAGGSTATAGATATATAATTTATATTTATAGTACCTACCTAAGCGAAATTCATATAAATACAGTGTTTGTAGTAGGGCAGGTACCTACCTATTCAAATGTGTAACGTGCTTATACTCATGAGGATTCATTATTTGAATGTTGAAATTTTGACATATGAAACCGATCGACTAACTTTAATACTAGGTATAGTATAATACTATGAGTATTGCGCTGTAACGAAAATACAACATAATATACATAAGTAATGTGAATGGTTGAAAAAAACGTCTTACTAGAAAATAATATTATTATTATAATATTGYCGTGAGTATTCCCCGATCGCACAGACACACGTGTGCTCAGATACATCATTATCAAATATCATTATTATTATTAACAAGACGTATGTTATTATTATTGAAAAAAAATAAATAATGTTTGTACCTTTCGTACAAATCGGGAATAGCGACGCTTGCAAGTCTCTGACCTGTGCCATTTTAACGTCCGTGTTGGCCCCATCCATGTTTTAAACTCGCGATACACCGCGCTTTCACCAACATTCGTCCGGTTACTACGGTGACACCGGTATAGACTGTGTCCAATCGATAATATTATTATTGTGTGTATTATGCTGCTGCGCTTGCATTCGGTTTAAGCAGTAACAGGCTATAATGACAACAGTACAATATTATGTATATAATATCTGCAATATAATATGTGTGTGTGTGTGTGTGTGTGTGTTATGATAAGTACACGGGTAGTGCGTGTTCCTACCTACTCCATTGTACAACCCTTTTTCATAAACTCAATCTTACGTATAACGCACTCGGAAGTTTAATACACGGAATACACTATACATATAAATACCCTAATCCTCACCGTGCTCCAGACCTACGTCTGAATTATCCACAGAAATTCGTCCTAGATGTAGACATTCCTCGACCGTCGACCTGATTTTGATTAGTATATAGTATAATATAATTTAACGACTATAATAATAATAATAAAATCAACAATATTATTAATAATTATTATTTTAATGATGTTTTCACTTTATCCGTGT